AATGGCCATGTAAGAAGAGGCTAATTACCACCATCTCTGGTGTGCGTGTGTGCGTGTGTGTGTGGAGTGGGGGGGGGGCTGTCAAGTACATGGAAACAGTGAGTTGTTGAGGGGAGCTGTGCCTAGCCAGTCTCACGGATCTCCCATCTAGGCTAACATTATTACCGAATGGACAGCGCGGAGTGACCAATCTGCTGAGAGCTGCGGAGTGCGTGTGCTGTTTGCAAGTGGATTTGAATGAAACAAAAAGAATTTCAATGGATGTTTACAAAAAAACTAAAGGTGAGTCGAATGAATGAGCAGTGTTATTCTGGGTTATCTTTGATAACAGGGTGACAACATGATGATAACATGATGATAACATGATAATAACATGATGATAACATGATGATAACATGATGATAAAATGATGATAACATGATGATAACATGATGATAACATGATAATAAAATGATGATAAGATGATGATAACATGATGATAACATGATGTTAACATGATGATAAAATGATGATAACATGATGATAAAATGATGATAACATGATGATAAAATGATGAGAACATGATGATAACATGATGATAACATGATGATAACATGATGATAACATGATGATAACATGATGATAACAGGGTGATAACAGGGTGATAACAGGGTGACAACATGATGCTATTACAAGAGCTTACAGGTTCGGGGAGGTGAATCTGGGACAAGCACCAACCCTTTGAGGGTTTTAACTGTTGGTGTCTGATTGTTACACGATCCTCAATTTTCGGAGCAAAGAAAATTATGATAAAGCATTGATCTTTCTGCTAAGAAAATATTTATGGAGCCACAGACAGGAGCCACATGGGGAGAGCGAGTATACACGCGAGACCTGGGGAAGTAGTTTACAAGTGAAACTTTACTTTCAGACACTACATTTAAAATATAACATATGCATTTTCATTAACTTAAACAAAAAATAAAGATAACCTTGAACTCGACACACATGGTGATTAAATAAACATGAACATACAGGGTGGCCCAGAAAAATTGAGCTCATCTCGTAGCAAAAGGTTCTATAATTGAATTAATATCATGTTTCGTCATTGAAAGTGGTATGCAAATGATGACGCTAATCAGAAAACATGTTCAATCTGCCCCCCCCCCCCACATTGGAGTAATCACATTGGAAAAGGGAGGGCACCCTGTAAAGGGAGGGCACCCTGTATATATAGTTTCTAAAATAAAAAGTCTTCTGTAATTACAAATAATTGCATGAAATCAAATCAAATAATTCTTATAAGTTTATCTTCTTAATGTGACGTTTGTTGTTGTCGTTCGTTCACTCAGTATGAGGGAGGGGGGGGGGCAACTTGATTTTAGTTTACAGCCACGATGAAAACTCCCGTTGCTCAGTTGCTCTCCCCCCCCCCCAGTTCCTGATACCCACCAGGAAGCCGCCCTTGCAACCAGTGAAACATCCGTCATCAGCACCAGGCACAAGAAACATCGTGAATCCCCTCAACAAAAATAGGAAACATCATGATCAATACATTCACCGTGTTTCCTTATGAGACATACTGAGAAGTTGAACAGCTGATCTCTCAATGGCACTTAACTCACCAAAATGACGTCACACTCACCCCAGAGCGAGATCTGGACACGTTGGTCTACAGGAAACATGAAGACAATTTTCCGAAAGAATTTTCCAAGAGAAAGCGCCCCCTCCTGTTCAAACCCCCCCCCCCCCCCCGCACCCCCACCCCCCCCACCTCCCCCCCCCACCCCACCCCCCCCCCCCCCTCCAACCCCCCCTCAGCGCTTGGCA